GTGTAATGTTTCTGTCGCCCCATTCCTGCCTTATAAACAGTGTGTGCTCAACAGCTAAAATTCACTTATGACACTTCATGTGGCTCGAAGTGTAATTAACTATGTTCCACAGAAAATATTTTTTTCTGTGCCCAGGTTTCTAGCACCATCGCGTTATGGGTTGAAGTTTACCGTAGAGTTATTACGTAAACATATTTCTGTAATTTTTGGTGGATATTTACATCGCCCGTGGAACTTTTGAAAAGTGCTTTTTTGCAACAATTTGCAAATGTGCAAAATGGCAATTTATGAGTGCTTGACATGAAATCGCTGCTTTTCCGTCGTACTAGCCTTGTGCCAAATTCACGAGTAATTTGTTCCGAATTCTGTTTCAAATCCTTCCAATGAAAAACTCCAGCCAGCACTCGTGCGAACATTTGTCATTATGGCTGAACACTCGTTTTCGTTGCATTATAATTGCGTTTCAACGACACCTTCCATTGTCGAGGCATATCCATTCCTTTTGAGATTTTGCGAATGTGAATTTATTTTGCAAGTTTTTTGAGTAGGTTCTGCAGCATTGAGTGGTTCCCGTTTCTTTCATCGAGATGATTAACTCAAAAATCTCATTCGCGTATGCTGTGGGTCTCTTACCGTAAGTAGTAAAAAGTGCTTCATTCCTTTCCATTCCCTCCAATGAGCCATGTTAGGCTGGGTTCAACTATGAGCATGTGTGAGCTGAAGCTTGATGCTACGTCATTTGGTGATTTTTTGGCTTCCCCTTGCTAACACTCAACTCGACACCATGCCCTAGTGAGCCTTAGGCTGCAATCTCATAGACACGTCAGGTTTTAACCCTTTCGGACCTGGAATTTTTTCCGTGGAAAATTTTTTCTAGCTATTGTTTATTGTGAGCATATAAATATCATTATGGCGAAATTTGGAAGCTATTCGATCACAAACTAAGAAACTAGGAAGCTTTGAAAATTGGCACAGCTTCTTAGTTTTTTAGCTTATGTCGAAACAATTCCAAATTTCTTAGATATGTCGAAAAAGTTTATGATCTTGCACAACATTATATCTAACGTTTTTGATAAGAAATTGAATATATGTCAAGTATTTTAGAAATGATTGACACTTACCTAGCGGCTTGCTGAGACCAGCGCCGATTCATTGTTGCACTTGTACACAAATACTTGTAATGCTAACAGCAACACACAATAAAATGGCAGGTTCAAAGCATAATTGGGAAGGGGAAGGTTAATCTCTACAGTGGGTAGTAGAAATATGCTGTTGCAGCGGTAATGCAGACATTTGAATTTGATGGTGGCAATTGCCACCGCCAGGGCCGAAAGACTGCTATGATGATATGTGCCGATATGATATGTGCTCACAAGTAATAAATAATAGCTAGAAGAAAAAATTTTCCACGGACTAAAGTTAGTGCTCCACTGATTGTGCGACAGCGATGCTATTCTGGTTTTTCTTGGTATGGTAATTTCCTTTCCCCAGTCCTCTGAATAGTCCATTACTGCTCAGTTTGATCCTCGCAACCACCGCTTGTGTTAACGAAACTTCTGTTTGTTCTGTGAAATCATCTTCTCTTCGTCGTCTAAGTGGCGGTTTGGTGCATCCACTAAGACATGGCTGTTTTCTTGTTTTTAATCAGCACCTCGTTCTATCTCGTTTTTCCACATGCCCTTTGTTAGCAGCCTTTCTGCGAAGTGTGTCGACCTGTCATGGTTGTTAAGCTCCTATATAAAACCACGTTTGCATCCCCCGCCAGATCATTTGTTTCTGAAATTTGCACTGAGAAAGGCCTTTTGAAGCATTTTTGAGGGCTAGGTGGCTACGTTTCTATAGGAACGACTTTTTCGGGGCGGAATAAAGTCTTTTGATGGTTCGATAGCGCTGAGTTGTATAAACATTGAACTCATACAAGTTCTAGATAACTCAGTTGGATTTGTCATGATTGTTGGTCGTACGTTGTGCTATTAGAGATCATTTGCAAGTATGAGAGCAATCCATCGAGATGGAAACAAAATTGAGCTCTTGGCTATTACCTAATTCACCAACGCGTGAAGTACATCCCTGATCACTAGAGGCAGTTGTGCATTAGTTTCACGGCAAGAAGATCCAGTTTTAACGAAATGAAGAACAGCAATTTTACGACAACTCCATACTTATGGGACGGAGGTGGGCAGGTCGTTAGAGACCCGGAGTACAAGGGTACGCATGGTATAAAATTATGTACAATATAGAGAATATTGGAGCTTCCATGTACCGGCGACACACCGGAAAAAATTGGATTTAAACGTTACGAATTGCGTAATAGAGTTAAATGCATCGAAAAGAATAGGATATGTTATTTTGGGTAGAAAGGCTAAAATAAGTTCTCATGAATTCCACTTCCAAGTTTGTCCGTGGAATCGTGGTCCATTCGCCAAGCATCATGTTATGATGGGATGCCGGCGGAGCTTGAACAGAGTCGCGTAGCAGCTCCCCATTTTTTGACTTGTTCTAATATTCTTATCATGAATGAATGTGTTCCATGCTAAGTGATCTATGGGGGGGAAGACACAACCATATTTTTTTTGGCCTTGCATGTTCCTTTAATGCCTCACTGTCTCTTCTGACTGGTAGCAGTTGACGGTCTGGGAGACGAGCAAGCGTGGGCTTCTAAGTGTTGCTAGGAAGACTTATCTTTTTTGTTCTTTCGTGCAGAGGCTCAGCGTCGCGTATCGTACCTATTCCACATACGGGAGGGCCATGCTCATAGGATGTGCCTTTACTCTCCAACTGATATGTAAGAAGATCTAATGGAGAACAAAATGACTTATCTCCGTTCCTCTCAATTCATAAGAATTTCGTCGAAGTGTGATGCGAAAAAAGTCGCAGCTGACAGCTGTGGCGCATCCTGAAGAACTTTGTGAACAAGGACCACAGCATTTATTCGCTCTTCAGTCATTAGTTTGTTGTAGAGATCAAGTTTTATCTAGCCTTTTACATTGGTTATTGCTTGGATTTCATGAAATGTCGAACCACTAGGCGGTTTTACTCAATATGTGTTAAACAAGGATTTGTCGTTTCGATGTGTTTCAGTAGATTTCTATGATTCCTTTTGTTATTTGACGGATGCATGGTTACAGGTAGTCGTTCTTTCAGTGGTATGTGAATCCGGATGGAAATAGCTGTCAGTATTGTCCTGTGGGCGATCGCTTTATATGTGTGGGGTGGGAATGTGATTGTGGGTTGGAAATCAGGTGCAGTACGTCTATCCGTCACTCTGAAGAGGGTCTCAGCTTATCACGTTGCGAAGCCGCAATTACGATGAGTTTATCGTGAGTTGTTTTCTATTTGCAAGTAGATTGTTTGTTTTTTGCCAAGAAATGCCTATTCCCCATTTTCATGATGCTTTAGTACTTTAGTACCGTTTTCCCATTAGTTTCAGTGAGAGTGAAATGAATCCACAAAATTGAAATAAAAAATGTCGCAAAAATGTAGACGATAAAACTCGGGACTTTCGACTGTCTTCGGGTCTTTTTTGAGGAACTTTCTAGGATTTTTTTTAGTGTGATGCAATGGAATAAAGCTTCAAATGGTAGGCTTTCTATTAATTCATTGCTGAGCCTTTATCGCTAGTTTGGCCCGCAATTTGTCTCTTTTTACTTTTCGGATTTTCTCAAATTTATACGGAGGGACGTTTTATTTTAACTTCTCATCCCTAGAAAGAGGCTGATTGGCTGAACGGGATTGCGTGCTGCTAGCGGTTTTGTGGTTGTATTGTATTTGACACTTGACATCGTTCATAAGACAAGTGCACGGCGTATCCCTAGTTGTAATTTCGGTAGACACGTATAATTTGATTGAAGGGAAGAGGCGCTGGAAATATTTCATTCATTCCTTTCTAATCCGCTAGTGGGAAAGGCTGTGAAATGAAGGAGACAGAAATTGTGCAGTTTTCAGGATGCGCCACGCATCCAACCACCATTAATTTTTATTTCATTTTATTCATTTTTCAACTGCGAGGATAATTGATTAGGAGGCTGAGAATTATACAAATTCGTTTGAAGCGGGATATTACGATGGAGTGCGTGTGGAAGCATGGAAGCACATGCACCAGTGAAGCAGTAGTCAGAGGCCTAAGGAAGCGAGATGTGGCCTTTTCGTGGCCAAAGGCGCGCTAGTTCAGCGCCCTGGAGGCTGCCAATCCTCCTGAGCTCCGCCTCCGCCGCCTGTGCTCCGCCCATTAGTGTGGCTAGCAGCATCATTGTTCTTATCATTTGGATGAGGTATTCCACTTCGAGTGTGTATCCTATAACTTTCCCATGGAATGCGTCATCAATCAAAGCATGATCTTTGCTGGAATGATAGCGGCTATCGGTTTAACATGTGCAAACGACCTCCTAATTGGTTGCTAGCTCGTCCATTATCGGAGGTCAACGGGCAAAAAAGGGGTCCCATTTTGCGCGTTTTTGACGTTCGCCTTTGGGGTGTTATTGAGCATCCCTACTTCCACTATGAACCCAACCCAGCCAGAACAAATAAGTAAATAAATCTATGGAGACGCTAGATCGTCTTAGCGCGCTTTTTTGAAGGTTGAATCTCGATCCTTTGACTTCCGGACAGCTGAGCCTTTTGGAAAATTGGTGAGTGACGCATCTTAAACGGTACGCTGTATTCTCTCGGTGTTAGATCACAAGATCGTATCGAATGCTCTGTTTATATACAGGTAGACGGAAGGGTGAGGGGAAGGGGTGGCAAAAAGTTATCTGCTCATTGAACCGTGACAGCATACTGTGACGGATGGCAGTGGCGTTTGAAGATCAGCTTGTCTAGCAGGGGCAGGTCTTGAGAGAAAAATGCGAACCGCAGCGATGTTGTTCGATGTGCAGTTTAGCGAGGGTTCTGCAAAACCAGAGCTAGAGAAAGCTCTGGTTCTGCAAAGCTCTAGCTGAACCATGTGCCTTAATGATTTTTTTAGGACGGCAGCAGTGGACGGTCTATAATCTAACCGTGATATGAAACAAGTAAGTTTGAGGGCCATCATTGAAAAAAGAATGTTTGAAATTTTCTCTGTTAATCGAACTGATGTGTTTCTTGCGCAAAAATACGAACATATTGTTGCGAAATGGTCGGTAGTTAAGAGAAAAACGCAAAGAAACTGTCGAATACGCCTAGGTTTAATATGGTTTGTTCAACTCAATAATAGCAAGGCTGTGCTAAAGCAGTGGAGACTGAGCGCGGGATGAGAGCACGAGGCGAGAGAGCACAACAGATGAGATCGCGCTTAGAGAGCAGCCAGAAAACATTGGAGCTGCTGCAGCTTACTTTGCAAGTCCCAACCGTCTTTTCGGGTGATTTCCACGCACGGGAGTGATACATCTTTGATTGTTTTCTGAGGGGTCCATGCTACAGACCGAAAGGGAATCATTCTTACAACTACTGCCTGGGTTGTGCCTTTAAGATCCCACATATACGTCGTCCACCGCGATTGTTAACTTTACAGTGGCGCGCCGCAGTTATGATTTTCGGATTCCATATGCGGCGATAAAGGCCACCATTGCCGAATGGTGCAGTCCATATCCGAGAGTTGGGGTAGGTGGCGTCACCGAAAGTGACGTTGACTTCATAGAAGTTGCGTGCATAAAGTGTCGCCAGCCAGCGAGTGTGAACCAGTCTCATAAACTCGGTTCTGGTGCCCGGAGAAAGGCGTATAAGGGTTGGCAGAGGGAAGGGGGTCAACTGCTGTGGCGGCAGCGGAGCATGCATTAAAGTGGGCGGAGTTTGCCACGAAACTTCATAACTCGGTTCCAATAAGTTCCGGAGATGGGAAAAAAGTAGAAGGAGGTTGGGGAAGAGATGATACTGTCAGACTGATTTCGTCCCCTACAAGACCTCATAATTCTGCTCCGAGATGACTCAGAGACCTGAAAAAATGTGTATAGTAGTGAGAGGAGGAGTAGAGGTTGATTGTGAACGCTGGGCATGGCACACCTCGAAGTGGGCGGAGTTTGCCACCACTCTCATAACTCGCACACAACCTGTTTTCCTTGAGATAGGCGACCGGGAGGCAATAGTGGACAAAGGGTTTCCGGAGGGAAAGGCGCCGCTACACCATATCGGTGCACTTGCACCAAAGTGCGGAGGGGTATGCCACGAAAATCATGAATAATAAGTTTTTTACAAGACTCATATGGCGTGCCTCCGGAGATGAACTATAGAGCACCTGAAAAAATGTGTAGAAGTGATGAGGAACGAGTGGAGGTTCAGGTTTTTGAAGCTACGCTAGCACACCCGAAGTGGCGGACTTCGCACACTCTCACAACTCGGTTCCTAGAAGTCTAGGCAACCGGGAAAAATGTGGATAAGGGTTAGCGGAGGATATGGGTCAATCGCTTTTGTCGGGCGGAACGTGCCCGAAAGTAGGCGGAGTTTGCTACGAAATTAATAACTAGGTTCTTAGAAGTCCGGCGACCGGGAAAGAAGTGGACTGAAGTTAGAGAAGAAGGGAGGGTTGAAAGCTGTCGGGGCAGGGTCACCGGAGTGAGCGGAAATTCCCACTCGCCGTCATAACTCAACACCCTGACGACCCTTAGTAGAGGAAATCATTGCACAGAAGCTAGCAGTGGAGGGAGGGTGAAATGCGATTAGTGCATCGAAGTGGTTAGCGCGAAGATCCGCTGGCATGGCATTATCAATATTGGTAGTGTATCGGGCCAAGTTTGAGAATTTACGCCGTTCCAATCCACATCGCCGCAGAACTGTGTGATGCACGCGAATGCGTGCGCAGCTAAACTGGTAAATAAATAAAGAGATAAATAAATAAAACAAATAAATAATTTTCTTTGAGGCACTATTAAATATTAAACCCCATCTTCTCGAAATTTTATTTTTCGTCGAAACTTTGTCTTTAGGAGTAATTCGGTGCCCTGATTACGAAAATAACATTTATTTTCAACGGGGGCGCCATCTGGCGCCAGGTGGCGTCACCCTGTCACGACAGTTGTTTTCACCAAAACTCGATGTAAACTTCTGGGTAGGGGTAATTTGGTGTCCAGATTACGAATATGACATTCATTCTTGGCGCTAGCTCCATTTAGCGCTTTAATCTCTTCGTCTGCGCCCTCCTAGTGACTAGATCGCGATCAGGACTAAGCTTTAGGAGAGAGGAAAGATATCAGTGAGTGAGCCCCCTACCCTGTGATCTCACACGCTCCATCTTCGTCACACGGTGCCTGATTCACTCATTCCGAGTCTCCCTATCCCCTAAGCTTAGTCCCAAGGCGCTATGTATAGGTGAGAGAGCCCAGAAAAGCGGGAAGTATGCGGTAAACAGCGGTAATGTCAAAAACGAATGTCATATTCGTAATCAGGACATCAAATAACCCCTATACAGAACTTTACACCGAATTTTGGTGAAAACATGTGTCGTGACAAGGTGGCGCCAACTGGCGCCAGATGGCGCCACCGCCAAAAAATGAATGTCATTTTCGTAATCAGGGCACCGAATTACCCCTATAGAGGAAGTTTCGACGAAAAATAAAATTTTGAGATTTTGGGGTTGTAATAGTTGAATAGTGCCCTTTCTTGCTGTCATATTGTACTATATTATGTGTGTTAATTGAAGTAAATATATTTTACTATAAATAGTAAAGTGAGGTATGGAATCCGAATTTACAGTTGTAATCGATAAATATTTCAGGTATTGGTGTTCACAGTCGCCAAAGATGTTCTTCTCTATGGCGTGAAATTGACGCAAGAAACTTACGCAGTGCTGATTGCCGCCTGTGCTTACATTGCGCACGGCTATCGACGTTTTGCTTCGGGTGTGGATCGCACTTAGCCGACCAAGTTACAACAAGGTGAGACAGCGCATTCAATGAGCGTTCTGTGAAGGAACCCGTTTGTGCCTTGTAGGTGATTCCCTCAATTCTGCTGTTACTGAACAGCAGTGTCCCCCCCCCCCTCATCCCCTCTGTCCTACTTGTATAATGTCTTACCGGGTTGAAGCAGGTACACAGAAGCCGCTGAACTTGCATTGCATTTGCGCAAACAGTTAAACGGAATCCACAGCTATTGTGAAAGTGGTAATAAGTGTAATTAGCAGAGGTTATGAATAGACAGCTAGTCATTGAAGTCGTCAACCGGCTTCTGTGTCGTTAATTAGCCTCATAGAACTCGTAGATTCGACTCTGGGTATTCTAGGTCGTTTTTTTTTTTTTATCGGTCTTGGTCAATCAGTCACTAATTCATCATTGTTAAACTGCTCATTACACTTCATTGGTCGTTGTTGTTTTTTACTAGTACTGGCCACACACGCCCTATTGCCATTCATCTGTAACACGTGAGATTTAAACTGGTTTCCGGTTAGTGGCAAGTAATGGCAGCAGCAGCAGCAGTAGTGTTACAGCCGCATTTGTTCGTTTTGAGTTGTATTTGAGAAATGTCTAGAACGTGCTTGCTCGACCCGGTTATTCTTTCCTTTTATTTAAATGCTCTAGTAGGTTATATAGATGATCTAGATACGCCGTAACGCTTCAATTAGAAGAATCCTCTGTTCTGAAGTGTCTTCAGGTGTAATAGCTTGAATCAGAATGTCATATGCTCAGTATATGATTTCGCAAATGTTTTGTTATGTTGGTAATTAGGTAACGCTAAATAAAGTTTTCAAATGACTCAGTGAAAGCTGTGTCATCTCGTTTTTGTGGATGCGAGATGAAATTCTGCCGTACTGTGTGTAGCGGTGAAATATTGAACGTTGAGTGTTTGTTTCTGACGTGGCGCCGTTATGTGGTGACTATTCCCATTTCTGTTCGTTCTCGTTATCGTTGTGATGTCGCCCGGTTCTGCAGAAAGGTTTGCTAAAAGTACCAGACCCAATAGGTCTGCTGTGTCGTGCCTCTATCCGATCGATCAATACCTATGTTTATTGCAGGGTTTTAAAATCTGGCACATTCTCATGCCTACTCGTGTTCACTAACCATATCTCAGCGTGCAGTCAATCGGTCTACGTCTCTATTTTGAAATTCTGTCATAAGTTGGTAAGCATGAGTAATAGTCGATGGTCCACAACTGGTAATGGAACGTCATCGTCACCAGCCGGTAGCGATTCTAGCGATCCTGATGTGACACTACGGTATGTCTTTCGTCATCTATGCGATAATTATTTCTTTGCTTGATTTAGCTCTTTTTATCAAATATCATCTTTATATTTTTCCGAAATATTCGGTGAATTATTAGAAGGATGCTGAGTCACGGGCAGAACACTTCACATCAGGCGAATTTGAATCCACATCTCTAGTTTTCGTGTTTTCCACTAGAGGTACGGGTTCGAACCCCGCCTGGAGTGAAGGGTTTTGCGCTTGATTCAGCCTTCTTGTGATAGCTTCCAGATGGCGAATTGCGGCCAAAAACAGCAGTAAACAGTGAAAAACAAGTCAAAACTTATCGAATTAGTCGTGCATATCCTGCATGTCATCATTGTAATCTTTGCTCATCATTTATTATTTCTGTTAGACATTTTGTTTTGAAACTATCGACTCATAATATCGCTGCCCAAGGGTACTGCAGAATTTATGGCGAAGAGCGATTCTCATCGCATATATTGATTTGAATTTTTATATAAATTGTGTATAGTTTTGCGACTGCTTTTTTCGCTGGTGACGCACTGCACACAGTGGAAAATCCTACCCATAACTCAGCAATAGCGATGAAGTCGTGAATTAGGAAAGCCATGCCTTCACGTAAAATGGTCCATTGGAGCAAATATGAGAAAGGCCAATAGAGCGACTCAGACAGTACGATGTCAGGCAGCATATTTCCGGTTGGTGTGCGCCTGACAGCCTCAATGAAGTGCATGGCGCTTCCTGGTAAGGGTTCGCAGAATTATTAAAGTGCGTATTGGGTAGTGGAGTACTGGGTGGTAGTCCTTGGAATCAATTTTTGGCCTCCCCCTTCTCTATCTGATCGTCCGGTCATCAGGTAGTCGGATAATTCGAAGTGAGGTTTTTGATACGTGGACAACAAGGATTTGTTTGTTCCATGCTATTTTCACCATAACCAGCGCATAAAAATTGTATGGATTGATATCCTATAAAAGGCGTAATAGGAAATGCCGTCTTACGCATGGTTCGCACGTGCGATCAAGGGGTTCTGGCAGTGAAGGGGGGGGGGGGACGCTCCATCCCGGTTTCGGCTTGATGTTTTGATGCAGAAGTGTAGGAACAGTTGGTTACTACTGCTAAAGAAACGAGACTAGACAATGTGTTCCGCCACGAGGCGAGTGTCGTTCGAGTGATGTGTCTGTGATTGCACACGGTGATCAATGAGGTGTAACCAGACCTCAAGGTATGATGCACTTCAAGGTAAAGGAAGACGGTTGCAGTTCGTGAAATGCTTCTGAGGTTGTAAGGTACCCATGCCCAACTGTCAACAAACTGACCTGCGTCCAGTTGTCACGGCCAGGATTACTGTTACCATAATCCTGTCGGCATCGAATCCATGCATGTGCCACGTGACTGACGGAATCGCGACTTGATGGCGTGAATGAAGCGAGCACGTTATCATAATTTCTAGAAAAAGTTCCCAAAACTCGTTGGAAAATCATAATTAGTTGTATCCAAGGTTACAAATACAGGACCGGTCTTCTTCAGTGGAGGCTGAAAGCTTCGGCTCGAGGAAGACTAGAGGGCATCGCAAGCTATGGTCGGATCGAACTCTATGCGCGAATTGCAAGCAAAAAGCGCTGAGCTGTACTGTCTTCACGGGGTCCATCTCGAGTAGCCGGTCCTGATCACCAAATTGGTCGTCACAGGCCAACTCCCTACAAAGTTCTCGTCACTGCTTCTCGCTCCTCTCTGTAGCTCCCAGTGTCTCTCATCTCGCTGCCTGTCTCTTGGAACTCTCCACATCCTAAAAGCAGGACCTCCATTTAGAGTTAGCATTTTTTTTTCATTTATTTCTTCCATATCAGTTTATTTCGCACGTCTGCGTTCATTTTCGAGCGGAACAACCATACAGTTAGATCCTGGGATGCGTCCCTTCAGTGAAAAATGAACAAATAACGAGATCCGCCGTGAGTAATGGAGATTTATGAACTCATGCGTAGTCCTACATGAATGTAGAAATCTCCACTCCTAAATTTTTTGTCACATCGCTAAACGCGACAACATAGCGTCTGAAATTAATGTTCATGAACGATTTTGCATTGGTATGGGGCTGTCACCGCTTCCGTAGTTATATATTCATGCAGCGACCAGAAAGCGAACGGCCGGTCGCAACGGACACTCAGACCACTGACAGGGCTTGGAGCTGTTCTAGGCAAAGGTGAGCTGTAGATAATCCGTTCGGATAGTCTTCTCCACTCTCTTGAGATCCTTCGACCGTCTTCCTCACTCTCCTGGGATCCTTCGACCCCTCACACATTGCCACTTTGCGTTATTATTTTTGAATAATATTTGAATTCCTGCACTATGTTTGAACCTCAACATAACCCTATTTGCGCTGAGTTATGAATACCTGTTCCATCTAGTCACATTAACCCGGTACTCGCCGTATAAGAACTAGCGTTTCCTCGTGATTTTAATCTCAATAATTATCTGTACATAATCGGAAACAAGTTTCCAGTGATAAAGTTCATCTACGTGAAGTGAAGCGTATATCGCATGACATCCGTCGATCATGAGCGGGTTTTCCCAGTGATCCACTTTTCTCATGTGACAAGCACTTTACAGGCTGAGAGATTTATGAGTTCCAGATTGTGTTGTTGTGTTGTTATGCTTTGTGATCAAATGTTGGTATAAATAACCCAAAGGACAATAATACGCGACCATCTGGAATTTTTCTTATATCCTAGTTTATTTTTGTTTTCAAGAGTTCGAACGAATTCTTTTTTTTTCAATATACATATGCTATCTATAGTGTTATAAATATGTTTACCTTTCTCGAGAAAAATTTTTCGCAATTTTTTTCTATCAAATTTTAATCATTTGCAGCAGTCGCCATCGTCTCAGTACAGATCACGGTTCCGATGATTCTGCAATGCCACCTACTCCACCAACCACTGGTCTGTCACGAGCCAATCGTCCTCCGTGCCTGTTGAAGGAATTGAAAGCGGTGAGTCATTCAGGTTTAGAGTCGAGTACTGGTTTGGTTGAATGAAAGAGTTGATGTAGAATTGAGAAGTCTTTCTTTTTACAATAAGGTAACTGATTCTGTTAGCTTAGACAGATCCATAACAGATTCGTTCACAAGGCTCCGGCAAGGGTTTGTATGTGAAATGAGAACTTTATATGTGGTTATAGTAAGGAGTCGGCACAGTTTTGTGCAAGGCCTTGAGAGCATGCATACTGTTCTCTCCTGTAGAATGACCATGTTAAATTTCGATATGCAGTACTCGTGATTTTTTTTATTTCTGAGCATCATCTTATCGAATAGTAGACACAACCATCAGAGCCTTTCTAAAGAGTAAATCGGGATATATTCGAATCCTTCTGCAGGATTTATCGATTTTTTCGAAGACATTCCAATAGTCTGTCTACCTCGAGGATTGAGTAGTACATTTAGTCATGATTTTTTAAGTTGGCTACACCAACTCTCAGGAAGCTGGGGTAGTGCCCAGCGAGTTCTTGGTGGTGCAGACCTGTCTTCGAAAGCAGTGGATTCGGCTGTTCAATTGACATATGCTCCCATCACGCTTGGTCCATACAAAGACTCGACTTGTAGAGTGGCAAGATCATTTGAAGTATCAGGAATTCTTCTCGCTTCCAGGAATTTAGGAGCAGTAGTTAATAGATTTTGGCGAGTACCGTCGCATCCAGTGCAGAAATGGAACGGTCTTGGCCAATAAGTTTGTCCAGATTACTTCATCAGTAACTCTGTATAGTGGCTCAGTGGACTGCTGCTATTCTGCCAAAATCTTCTCAGTTGACGATTTTGGGTGCATCCCAATTGGAAAAAGCAGTGAATATAGTATGCATACGAAGTTATACGATCACCATCAGGAACACCACCGACATTAAAATGTCGACTGGTTTTCTCTGGTAGTTGTCGTAGTCGAGAAGGGTGCACCTGTGCGATAAGTGATGTCCTTTGTAAATGGCAAGTTAACAGTTGAGCTATGTTGAAATATCTAAAGGTATGTGTGATGCTGGATTGCCTGATGCCGTTTCTGCATTTATCTAATACTCCACTTTATCCCATCGGCCTAGTGCTGGTTGGAAAGAGTTTGTGACATTGGAGCGTGATCCATCGTTACTGGCCATGACTACACCATATATCATCAGTGGAATGACACGGACAATTTAGTGTCAGCGATTATCCAGTCTATAAGTATAGTTCTTCTGTTCGGAAAGGTGCATGAGCATTTTTGTAATTTTTTCACTTTTACTATAATGGATGGCAGTCTTCCCACTTACTACAGTGAATAACTGGATGCCGCTCGGTTTTTTTTGGGCATAATGGAATTTAACAGAAGTTTTTTGATCCTCTGATCAGGAAATCTTGGTGACACTTTTGAGGAATTAATACTGTGGTGGAAGAAGTTATTGCTCAAGAGTGCTAGGGTTTAGTTGAAGTTGGCATGAAGCATGGCCTATGATGTTCAGTGACTATTGGATCCGTAACAATTAGCCATTGACAAGAGCGCGATCACTTGTGGCTTTCGCAAAATTTAAAAGCTTCACATTTTCCACAAGAATGTTGAGTTGTGAACAAAACTTTCGTCCCAGACGGGGCTCGAACCCGCACCATTTGCTCACTGGGGAAAAGTGTGTTACCAGTTACGCTACCGGGACACCGTTTCATTCCAACTCAGCTTTTCATTGGTATACTTCGCACTGGCTTGTGGAATCATAGGTGCGGGGTTCTAGTCCCGCCTGGGGCGAAAGTTTTGTTCACAACACAGCATTCTTGTGAGACATTCGGAAGGCGAACTGCGGCCAAAAACAGCAGTTAACAATCAAAAGCAAGCTTCATATTTTGTTAAAAATATTTCAAATGACTTGTATCGATGTGCTTATTCTCCAAGCTACTTAAACTTGCAGAATCATTAATAGTAAAGATTTTGTTGGCTTCTCATGCGCCAGATCTTATTGTATATTGTACAAAATGTCAAAATCATGCCTAAAAGACAGAATTTACGATGAAAAGTTAGCTCATTGGAAATAAGGGTAGAGGTGGTCAGTGGAGCAGGGATGAAGAAGAAACCATTAAAACGGCCCGAAACCCGAGAAATGGGACCCCTTCCTTGCCCGTTGATTTGCGCATTGATGCGACTCTCATCGCTGTGCCCTCTTCAACACTACGCTCTCTCTGCTATCTAATCACTCGCCACGTATAGACCTGCGGCGAGTGATTAGATAGTCGGTGGGCGTACCCCGCCAACCGCGCCAAGAGTGAGCCATGCTAGATCGCCGAGGTCAAATCTTTCGCTGCCAATTGCGCGTCGGTGCACTCCTCAGGAGGTCCGTCTGTCTCGCAACTATGCAATTTTCCCCAGCCATTGATCTTCATTCTTATCATGAATTCCTCTTTCAAAGAAATGATGTAGCGGACTTACACTTCTACTAGAAAAAAAAAAACTGAATGAACAGATATCTCCATTCGGCGGCCGTTGCAGCATGGGGAACCTTAGCAGAACAGTGTTATCGCGGTAGCGATTCTGGCACTTGTCGCGTTTCTCCCGCTACCTCAAGAAGGCGCGTTCGATGTTGCTCTTGTCGATCTGGCTAATCAGAAATATCTCGAAGCTTGTTAGTGCGTCATAAGTCAAGCGAGCGATGATAGGTCTGTACTGCTGAGGGATGTGTTCGTATGAGGTTGCACTTATTCCATGTTCTTAATCATCGAGAAAGCAGTGTTTCACGATGCGAGGGTAGCTGTTGCAAGAAGCAGTTCATTGTGTTTGCTTGTTCCTCAAGATCGAGCGACGTCTAGAATGACCAAGCTTTTTTTGTTCTGGCGCAAATTCCTGGGAGCAAGCTTTTGTTGTTAAGTGTGCCTCGAGACGTCTATGAATTTGAAAGGGCTTAGATACTTAACGCTTTTCAAAGTGGTCGTCTAGAGCCGAGCGCTTTTCCTTTATTTTTCCATATTATGAGTGGCTTTAGGTATCAAAAGCAGTTGTTGCCTAGGATGCTATAGACCACTACTACAAGTAAACTGATTTTTTTCTATTGACTTCAAATGTATGCCCTTCTTTCGTGAATTATGCGCCTAAGCGTCAGAAAAGTCACTCGGGAACATTATCTTGCTCCTGGATTGTCTTGATTTTTTATAATATATGCATAAGTATGCTGACCTGGAGAATAAGTGGAAGAAAAAGTTGTATTTCACGTTTTTTTTTGTATTTCAATTCCTCGCGGGGAGAGAAAATGCCGTCATTCTCTGGTTGGTGGTCGCATACCCTTTGGTGTAATGGATACTCATAAAGAGGGGCCGTGCTGCATGAGATTTCCAACGAAGGCTCATTTTCCCCTGAAATGCTTGAAAGCTGCATTTCTGTTGGATTATGGGCTATTCAACAGTGAAAGAAAGCTTATAAAGAATGGTAGTAAAGCGTGTGATCTAATGGAGCCGGTACACTTTTAATCAGAGACTTTTTCTTCTCTTTCTTTAGTGCTTGCCTCCATTGGTGGAAGGGTCTCCTTAATTCCATTGGGAGTAATTACTTATATTGAAGCGTGATTACTTTTCTTAGCCAGAATTCTTTCAGAATTTTTCGTTCTAATAATGCACCGGACGCCAAAAAGAACCGTGGCTTTATGTTTCTTCATATTTTATAACAACATCGAGTAATTTATTTGTATCGATTTTCCTGGAAACAAAAGTTCTGAGAACGTGCTGAATTCAGCGAAACGGCAGTCTGCAATAAAAGCTGTGAAGCACGCGATGGCCCTTTATTAGCACTAATTGTATCTTAAGAGAGCTCGGGCTTTGACAATAGTTTGCAGTAGTTTGCAGGATAATTTTGTAGGCAGGTGAAGCGCCTTGTCCCCCTTTCCTCCTGGAACGCATGCAGTATGTAGTAAAGAGAGAGCAGGACATTTTATATATTCCCGTGCACAGGTCCTCTAGAGCGCAAGTTCGCCTCCTTAGTGCACCAGGGGCACGCTCACCACGGCGAGCGTCCGGAATGAGAATCCTGGGTCGTGAGTCGCCCGGGCCAACCAAGCCTTCCATCCCTCCGGGGTCGGTTAATTGGTACCAGACTTGTCTGGGAGGATAAAAACACTGACTTGAACATCGGCTGGCCCCCGCAAGTCATTGTATAGGCCACATCGCATTCAAACGCCACTACGAATGTACAAATGGAAGTAGAATGCGTGCCGCATCCCAAAAAGGGATTGATCAACGGCAAATGCTTTATCCTTTCTTTGCAGGTCCTCCGCCCTTACCACTGTGTTTTGTTAAGTCATCTTCACCTTTTTTATGAAAGCGTATTTCTTCAATTTGTGGAAAGTGTTTGGGTAGCTAGTGATGAGAGTGCAGTTGTCCTCGCTTTCGAGGGAATCCACTAAGAGTACTCCTACAATTAAGATTCATCGAAAGAGCCGTTTGATGTTGTTTTCACGAAGGGTGAAAAGTCCTTAATGGGTCATCGAAAATTGCTACCTGTCAAGAAGCGACAAGGGGGGACGAAGCGCGCGTCCGAAGATCTACAGCAGATAGAAAAGTACCATACAAATCGTCTCAATTTTGTCGAGTTGGCCGAATAATTGAGAGTAGACTCAAAAAGAAATGCAGGTGCATGACCCAGCGAAACTGGGATACCATTATGGCGCTATGAAAGCCGGGGGTTCAGTTCCCTAGAGACTGGGTAACAGCTCCTCTTGTCCTATCCATTCGCTTTATTATTTCTACCATGGTCTTATTCATTGGCGATCCTAGCGAATATGGCATGATAGAGGCGCTATTTGTAACACTCAATTCTGTCGATTCGTGACATTCTCTTGGTTGCAGTTGGGTTCCCGATAATAAATTATTAAATATGAATCACATGAGAAGCTCGTCTTTGCTGTTATAAATAATTTCAACCAACAGATGGGAAACTTTTTCGATATGCTTTTCTTTATGTTGGAAGAATCATAATGCAAGCTGGTTTTCCCCGCGGAATCTCTCAATGCAGCAGCACATGCAGGCACACTGGCTTGATTGAATCA